ATCTACACTCCACCCATTTTTAGCCTTTATGCAAAGAAATTCCTTACTGACTTTAAAATTGTAATACTAGAACTTTTTTTTGTTTGAAAGCTTCAGCTTCTGTTTGGCACATGTAATATGCAAGTTAAATGTAGTTTAAGGCAGGTATGAACATTACTCAGGGCACCTTCTTTACGTTGATTAATAATCCATTTTGCTGGCCAATTCCCTGTTCTCACCCTACCCTCTACTCCCTTTGTAGGCTCAACTCATCCAAAACTCTGCTGTCTGCGCTATTACACTCACTCACTTTCATTTAGTTATCATCTCTGTGTTGTCACAGCTCATTGTCTAGTCATGAATTGATTTTAAATTTCTCATTTTGTTTTTCCCTTGGCTTCATGAAATCCCTTCATGGCTTTCACATATCTACCCTTGTAACCTTCTTCAGCCTTATAATCCTGAAATCTCTCGGTCCCCAATTTTCACAGCTCCATTGTTGGTGACCACGTCTTGAGCCATCTATCTATAATGTAAAATTCCTCTCTAAAACTTCTCTGCTTCTTGATAGCTCTACTTTAATATGCCCCTTCAAGTTTACTCTTTGGTCAAGCTTTTGGTCATGTGTCTTAATCTATACACTGTCAAATTTTGTTGCATAATAAATTTCAAAGGCCTGTGGGATGTTTTACTGTATTCGATGGGCTGCATAAATTCAAGCTGCTGCTACAATGAATTTAGCAGTCCAAATACTCAAAACGTGACTTTTAAGAGCAAATATGTGTGCCTTCTAAACACATATGCAGACGATTTGGGTTTCACTGAGATGTGCAGTCAAGATTTCACTCTTTCATCACTTGTACTGGAGCTACAGACACTGTAGTGGCAACAACATTGCATCTTTAGGTGAGGGTTACAATGGAAAATATCAGCAAAATTGTACATATCCATTGAGATTTGGTTTCAGCTTATGTACTAAAATAATTCTACAATATCCTACACTTGGAAGATGTTACAATTCCCGTAAAGATCAATAATTTTTTAAAAGGAAATCAATTTCGCAGTGACTGACACAAAGAACTGCAGGATGGGATAATCCTCTTTTAAGATTTTTATTGTAACAAACTGAAAGCAACATTGTCTAACCATTACTTAATAAGCAATTAATGTGCTAACCTACAAAAAAGGCATACATTTTAACTTCTTAACCAAAACAAGCTATGCCATGTTTATAAGATTCACAACATTCTCAAAGAAATGTAGTCTTGTGTTTAAGCCCCAATTTCCGACTGGTTTTAACAGGATCTCTTTTGCCCAACCAGGGCAAATATTCCAGTGACCTTTAGTGCACTGTACATTTGCTCAATCCTCTCAGCGTGGAAAAAATGAACTTTTGGTAGGTAGGCTTAAACTGAAACCAAATCTCAAATGATATGTATGATCTTACTGTTTTCCATTGTAACTATCGCCTAAGCCTGCATCAATTTTGATGCTATCACAGTGTCTGCTTGGGCTTAACTCTCCAAAAGTCTCATTCTTTTAAACTAGAATCTATCCTCCCAACTCTCTGCTCAGTGACTAACTCAAGAAACAGAGCACCTCTTCCTCAACCTTCTAAACTCAAGGAAATGCAATTAGTAAATGCAATCTGCCCTCATAATTAGATGTCAAAGCTTTGGTATAATTTGGTGCCACTTCCAAGAGCTCTATCTTTCCAGAAGTATGATGGCTGATATTGGACACAACTCCCCAAATGGGACAAGTCTTGAAGGTGAAAGGCTGTCCCATAAACTAGATACAATTTTTAATGGTATGCCAGATGAGAGATGTTTGGGCTTGGAAACCTTACAGTTTCGCCATTTTGAATACTGCTTCCCCAAATTTCTGGCAGTAATGTAGAATCACAGAATTATTACAGCGCAGAAAGGAGTAATTCGGTCCATATCTGCACAGGCTCTCTGAATAATATTATAACATAGTGCCATTCTTCTTTCTCTTTACCATAAGTTTAAATAGATCAATTACAATGATTAAAAGAAGGTTAAAAAAAGTCTCCAAGCAACCATAGGTACTTGTTACAAGCAAAATACAGTGTGGGTGCTGGAAATCTGAAATAAAAACAGAAAATGCTGGAGAAACTCAGCAGATATGACATCAACTGTGAAGCGAAAAAGAGTTGATGCTTCACATCCAAAGACGATTCTTTGAAGAAGAATCTTTGCATTCAGAACCTTAACTCTTTTTCTCTCTCCAGAGGGTATTGGTTACTACATATGACTGAGAAAATCTTGCTTGTCAGAATGCACTAAATTTTGATAACACCTGACTCCTCTGCTTGAACATTAGTGAAAAATGATCTGTCGAGTATACTTTTGAGAAATGTTCAATTTCCATTTTGTTTTACTGTGAAGGTAAATTTTTACAATTGCACAGGGATTCGAGCATAATTCATGATTGTCTAGTATCTAGACTGGAGTCCAGGAAAAGTGGATGCTATTTCTTTCTCCATCTTGTGAAGTTTTGTGTGCTAGCAGATGAATGATAACTAAATCTGAAGCATTCCTCTACAACCCCACCATCATATGAAACTAATACTTCTTTGGAAGCTTTTATACCTTAACATTCTATGGGATTACAATAAAACGTGGGCATATTTTCTTTCAGCCAGCTTTCATACTGCGGGCCACCATTCACAGGGAAAACTAATTGCAAATGCTGGGGAAACTTGCAGGTCTGGCAGCATCTATAGAGGCAGAACCAAATTTAATATTGTGAGCCTAGTATGTCTTTTCTTCCTTCTTCCTGGGCTTTTCTTGAAAGAAGAGTCTTATCAGACTCAATGTTAATTCTGTTTCTTTCTCCATTCTTGCTCTGTTTTTCTGTGTTTGTTTCAAATTTCCAGCATCTGCAGTATTTTACCTTTATTTAAGCTGTAACCGAAGACTGCCTATAAAGACATGGCTTACTGTTGAGGTGTATCCCTGTGAGGAGAAAAATAGAACATCCAAATCCAGAGCTCCCTGAATTATGAAACAGATAGAAAAGTAAGGTAATTAAAGGTGGAATGGTGCTGCTGGTTGTGGGGGGAGGCGATGTAATGTATAAATTGTTGTTGCCAATTACGAACAAGAATCCAGAAAATTTGGAGAGGAAGCAAAAGTTAAATGAAGTGTTATGGACCACACCAGATCCACCCCCACGCCCAAAAAATAGTTTTGTAAAGAGATAGTCTAGACCCGAACCTTTATATTTATTTAAAGGCAAGTATAAGATGCTGTGTTCCAGATGTGATTTGATTGGTCCACCACTCGGCTTTAATCAAAAACACACTATATTCTGACAACACAGTTAAAATACAGAAAAAAGAAGAATTGGTAAAACTTTAACTCTGTTAGAACACTTAACAAAATAATATGATCTAACCATTAATATCAACTGCTTCAATATAGGCAGCATCCCATAAATACACCTTTTGGAAAAACTGAATTTCAATAAGATAGCTATGATTTTCACGTGTTGTGTCTCTCCAGTCCAGAAGAAAGAAATAATTTGCCCCTTTTGATTTTTAAGAGAAAGCCTCACTATTTAAGACTTTATTCCAGCAGAGAACTCCAGCTTTTAGCTCAGCAGCCAGTAGACCTTCTCACTAACTAAAAGAAAAACTTTAAAAAAAATTTCCTGGGGCTGTATGAGACCTGACCATGCCCACTCATAATTCTTTGTCAATTTTAAAAAAACAATCGGACAGCAGTTTACCAACTGTTGTCTGAAGCAGACATTCCAGTACCACTGGCAACATCTCTCTGCAAGAGAAATAGGACAGAACATATCTCTCATAGACACAGTGCTGTCACAGACACCTTTTGAGAGAGTATAGGGAGAAACTGACAGCGAAAGTAAGTAAATGGAAGAGGAATTTCAGAGGAACCATCCCATGAAAGCAGAGGCTGTGGTTGATGTTTAAATACTTACTTTGTATCTGTCAAGGTAGAGGCTGCTAACACATTTCTAGCGAGGAACACTAGGAAAATTAATAATTGAGAGTGATGCTAAAAAAGGATAAAAAGTAACAAGTCATTAGATCTGAACATCTGAGGATATTGAGGAAGTAAAGATGAAAATTGTGGAAATAATTACAGTTTTCTCTAGATGGGGAGTAGAAAGAACAAGTAGGCAATATAAACTAAAGAATATAATTCTAAGGTGGATACTGGAACTCTGATTTCCAGCATTTGCAGTTCTTTGTTTTCTATTATTGGATGGAGTCATTCTGATCATGAGGTGTCTGGGCAGAGTAGTTAGGAAGACACTATTCTCATTGTTAGGAAGGTTCAGAACAAAGGGAACAGATTTAGAAAGATAGGAATAACTTTACGCGGGCGATACTTAGGGTCTGGAATTGCATGAAAGTGCAGTAGAGGCAGCTTCAAATGCTGCTTTCAGAAGGGAATTGGATAAGCACCTGGAGGGAAAGAATTTGTAAAGCTATGGAGTGAGGGCTGAGGACAGGGACTGGCAAAATTGCTCTTGTGGAAAGCTGACATAGACTTGAGCAAGAACAAAAACAAAATTGCTGGAAAAGCTCAGCAGGTCTGGCAGCATCTGTGAAGGAGAAAACAGAGTTAACATTTCGGGTCTGATGACCTTTCCTCAGAACAGATTCCTGATTTACAGCATCCACAGTTCTTTTGGTTTTTATAGACTTGAGCAGACTGCCCTCCTGCTTTGTAGCCATTCAATTATTCTCAGCTCACATTTTGCTGAAGGGGTGGATTCCACAGGCTCCTTTTAATAACATTACTTTTTTGCAGGTGTAGGCTTACTCCCGCTTTTTACTTGGGATGGTTAATGTTAGTGCATCCTGATGAATAATGGTTCATTGCAGGGTAGGTTTGAAGTAAAAGCATCTTAAGATAGAGCGTGTAATTCATGATATACTCAGATACTAATCAGCTATGAGTTTTTGTTTTAATTTAATGCGTTCACTGTGCTTTCCTGAGTGAATGTTGTGTATTTTACAGATTGTGTAGCTTAACATTGAAGAAACTGGTTGTCGTAAAGGAGTTGGACAAGGAACTCACTTCAGTCGTTATTGCCGTTAAGATGCAGGTAAGCAAGTTACTCTTTCTAACTTTGTTCTTTTGTAACAAGTAGAACAAAACCCATTTGAAAACTAACTTGTCTTTATTATAGTGCAGAGATTGGATTCACTTTAAATGTTAGCAGCAGGCTAGCTGTACTTCTGCTCGAGAATCGATCCCTGGGTTGGTACATTTTGCCTACAACTCAGAAACATGAGGTAACCATGCAGCAGGCACTGCAAGTTTACCTGTACCCGCACCTCAATCCATTCAGGTGTTGCTTGTTCCACAGGGACCCATCTCACATTTGCCAAATTCACATTTGACCAGGATGATGTTCACTCCGAGCAATCCTTGAATATATTGTAGAAGAAAAGTTTTTACATCATGCCTTCGCATTGTCCCTGAAGTGTCCCAATTCCCCCTCATGAGTGAATTACTTTCAGAAACAGTAACTCTTATGTTGACACACAAGTAATTTTGTGCCCTGCAGAATTTCAACAAAGTGAGAAAATGGCCAGTTAATCTGTTATTGATGGTTGTTTAATTCAGGGGTGAATGTTGAGGAGACACCAAGTAATCTCCCTAAGTTCCTTCAAAAGATTGAGAAGGAATCTTGACAATGGTAAATTAGACCTCTGCCTAAAGTTCCGGAGGAAAGGCAGTACTTCCTGATGTTGAAAATCTACAGAGCTCAATCCTGTAGTGAACCATAATCTTCAAACCCAAATATCAGAGTCAGACTGCTGTATGAAATAGTTGGATGAAATAATAATAGATGCAAATCTATTTTTCTTAATTTCCTCGTATGGTGCATCAGCTTTTGGCACAAAACCTCTGCACTCCTGTAAGCATTCAACTAATTAAAGCAGTGAATGGTGGAATCAAACTTAAGAATTTTGACAGCTGTGTTAGGAGTAGAGCTAATGCAATTAATGAAGCCATGAAGCTATACAGAATAAATCATCCAGCGTTTGTGCTCTTAATTGCTACATAATAATTCATGCTGAAAGTGTGTGTACATTTATATGTTGGAAACTGTATTAAACTTGGTTGTGTTAGGCTATGCACAAGTTAAAACTTCTTGGACACAGTTAAACAAATTAATTTAGTTTACTGTGTTTGTGATTGAAGCCTTCTGTACTCGTGCTCAAATCTGCACAATAGTTGACAATTTATGCTAAGCCAAACTCCCCTTTTCGTATTTACCAAGCCGCTGCCTTTATGTAATGGATCCTGAGTTTCAGATTCAAGCTTTTATTTGATTATTTTGTTGCATTGTGAACAAGCTGTCATATTATTCAGAAACTCCTCATGAAACAAGGCCCCTTTTTAAGGGAGCACTTTGGCAGCTGCAAGTCTGCGTGTGTAACCAGGAATACATGCTTCCTTGCTATGCAGAAGACAAACATAAGAGCAGGAATAGGCCATGTAGCCTCTTGAAGCTATTCTGCCATTCAATGAGATCGTGGCTGATCTTCAAACAAATTCCACATAATGTGGAGTAGGATTAAGAGTTGTGAAATACTTTTCTTTAACCGAATGTGCAGGTAATTGTATCGTATAGGTTGGTACAAAATTCCCTAGTGCTGTTTTGACTGGATTTGCACTAGAGATATTTCAAACACTTGGGAATTTCTGGAACTGTTCAGAATGATGGCTAATGCCATATGCTATCCCAGTTGGTCATATGATCGAATCATTGTATGTATTTAGAAAATGTTTTGTCAACTGCACAGTTGTGGTTGCAGAAGAACACATTTAAAACAGGGCTTTCTTTTGTAGGTAAGGCAGATAAACTAGTGTCACAGCTGCTTGCAGTATTTGTTCACAAGTGTAGCTTGGCCCTCAGGTCAAAGGTGATTAAGAATAATTAGACAGCTGTACATATCCAATATACTGTAATTACAGAATAATAGAATTACAGTTATGAACTGGCCAACCAGCAGGGGAATGTTTACGTCTGTTTTTTACATGTTGAGTTTCTGACATAAAAACAGAGTGCTGGAGAAACTGAATAGGTCTGGCAGCATCTGTGAAGAAACAAGCAGAGTTAACATTTCAAGTCAGATATGACTCTTCTTTGGAACTTTCCAGTTCTCTTAGCAATTGTTCAAAACATATAAAGTTTTATTAAGGGGATAAAGGAAGTCAAGACTGGAAGTTTTTTTGTGGAGGAGGTACAGGGTTTAGTGAGGAGGAGTTGATTTCAATGGCATAAGAATCAAAATGGGGGCATCAATTGCGAAAAAAAATACTGACAGGAAAACCTATACAACATACATGAGTACTCAGAACAATATCGAAATTAAACAAAAGATCCTAATTAAATTAATAAAGGAGGGGATGAAAAAATACAGAAGGTTAAGAAGTACACAAAAAAACTAGCAAGGCAAAAATAAACTATAAAAAATCAAAGATTATTAGAAGAAATAGTAATGTATCATATAGACATATAAACAACAAAAGAAAAATAATGATATGGATAGAGCTGCTAAGAAATGAACAGGACACCCTCACAGGTAATGACCACAAACTAACATGGAGAGCATGACATAAGAAAAAGAGCTCTTAAAAAGATATAAAGGCAGTTTATGACCAAAGGGAGCTAAATAATCGATAAATTAATCAAATTTATTTAGGGTTATATATAATTAGTGAAGGAATAAGAGTGACTACTGGGAAGCTAATGTGATTCCTACATTTAAGTAGAGAATTATAGTTTAATGTTGTGATAGGAAACAATTTAATTAATTACTTAAAAGATACAATAGAAAATAAAGTAAATTTCATGCTTTCCGGTCTAAATTGGGAATGGGTGGTACCGATAGATCAAAAAATGCTGGTTAGCAGAGAAGTACTGACTTTATGGGAAACTATGTGCCATTCAGTCATTTGAGTTTTGTGAGTGGTTAATTGACCACACATTGTCTTCGAAATCCAAACTACAGCTAAATGAATACTGCAACTATGTGATTATATATAAAGAGTATTACATGCTTTTCGCTGTGCTGTGATTAAACCTCAATGGCAAACTAAAGCTTGTCATGCCATCATGACAGTGCTCAGGTGCCAATTACCATTAGTATAGCATCCAGTTGGTGAAGCGCCTCATTGGTAAGAGGAAATATTGGAGATTCGGGTTAATGGAGTATTTCAGTTTTTACAGTGTCAGATAATATGCATTTGACTGTCTGGAAGCTACAAATATAATGGAGAGGAACTAGCATACCTGCTAATGTTGTACCTTTGTTTAACATGAGAATGAGAGTTAGACCAAATAATTACAGGCCAGTCAGTCAAACCTGAGTAGTAAAAAGAAAGTTAGAATCAATTCTGAAAGACTGGATAAACTGTTACTTAGACACAAGTTGATAATAGCTCATCAGCATGAATTTGCTACATGAATTTGCTAGGGGAAGATCATGTCTAAGTTGGTATAATTTCTAAGGAAGTAACTAGAAAGATTAATGAAGGTAGTGTAGTTGATGTAGTCTATGTGGATATTAACAAGTCTTTTGATGCAGTCCCATGTGACAGATTTATTTTAAAAAAGCCCATGGAATCCGGGGGAAAGCAGTAAACTGGATACAAAAATGATTCTGTAGCAGGAAACAGAGTGGTGTTTTTAAGACTGGAAGGCTGTTTTCAGTAGAGTTCTGCAGGGCTCCGTGCTAGGGCGCATGCATTTTCTGTAAGTTAAAACTTTGGACATTAGTGTGTGTGTTATGACGAAGTTTGTAGATGACACAAAAAAAAATGGCTGCAACGTTGATAGTAATGAGGGTAGCTGTAGACTGCAAAGTAATATTAGTGCACTGGTCAAGTAGGCATACTAGTGGTAAATGTAATTCAATGTTGAGAATTGAGAGGTGATACATTTGGCGAAATCAAACACAGCAAAGCAACACAAAGTAAATAAAAAAAACACAGAGGTGTGGAGGCAGTGAGGGACCTTGAAGTGAATGTCCATTGATCCCTGAAGGTAGCAGCACCAGCCAATAAAGTGTTTCAAATGGCATATAGATTTTTAAACAGGCCTATCTCCAATAGACTTGGAGGAGGTGGTGGTGAGCTGTCTTCTTATACTCATGTAGCTCAGGTGGAACAAGGAGGGAGGGAGCTATTAGGGAGGGAGCTTGAGAATTCTGGCCCAGTGATAGGATGGTGTGTGTATAGGAGCTTACAGGTGTTCCTATGAATCTGTTGCCCTTGTACCTTTAGATGGAAGAAGTTGAAAGTTTGCAATGTGCTGTCTAAGTGCTTTGAGAGTTGTTCGGTGCATCTCGTAAATGGTATACACTGTTGCCTCTGTACATTGGTGGAGGGAATGAATGTTGAAGATGTTAGATGTGGTAGCAATCAAATGATACTTTGTCTTGCATGGTGTTGAGGTGCTTGAGTGTCACTGGAGTTTCGCTCATCCAGGGAAGTGGGCGGGGTGGAAAACAGTCATACTCCTGACTTTTGTCTTGTAAATACATGACAGGTTTTGAGGATTCAGGAGTGGCCACAGGATTCCCAGCCTTAGATGTTCTTTGGTAGCCACAGTATTCATACAGCAGGTCTAGTTCAGTTTCTGGTTATTGGTAATCCTCAGGGTGTTGTTAAATGGGAGATTCAGCAATGACTGTGCAATTAAATATCAGGGGCAATGGTTGGATTTCGTCTTGTTGTGATTGGTCGTTGCCTGACACTTGTGTGGTACGAAAGTTACTTACCACTTACCATCCTGAAGCTGAATGTTATTTGGGTCTTCCTGTATTTGGTTTTGCCAGGTCTCCTTGATGCTGCCATGTGATCAAATGCTGCCTTGACATAGAGGACAGACACCCTCCCTTTCCCTCTTGAGTTCATCTCTTTTGTCAACATTTGCACCAAGGCTCTGACAAGTTCAGAAGTTGAATGGGTCTGACAGAACTGAAACTTAGCATTGAACAGATTATTGTTGGGGAAATGATTTTTTTTCTGTGTAGAGGGTGGTAGGGTCTGGATCTCACTGTCTGAAGGCATAAACCCTTGACTGAT